GATTGATGAAGTCCTTTGGATGAAGGACGAAACATCTCAACAAAAAAGAAACCATCCAGATGACCTGTCTGAACCTTGTTGGAATTTTTTACCTGGATTATTGAACATGAACTATGATGTTTTGAAAAACATGTTTCATTTTACCTTTATCATTATTTTAAGCATGATGTCACCACTTACATCTAATCACATAAAATATATCAGCTCCAAGTCAGATGTAGCACATTAGAAAAAGAAGGGAGGACGACCCTGGTGATGTGTCCAGGAGCGTTAATGTTGAGCGGTGACATGCAGACACGCGTGTATAAAACACGTGTCGATAACGTACCAGTTTGTAGGTTGCTGTCAGACTGCGCAGACTGAAGTGAAGGCCTCCTTCCAACGTTCTCCAAGTTAGCAGGCTGACTTCCACTCCTTCCATTCATAAAAATAACATTTAATAGAACATCTGTATCTGTTAGCATTTTGTACCCGCACCGCACTCTTCTGACGTTTGCTCCAACCTTAGCAGAGGATTGATGACCTGCAGGGTGTCTTTCTGCGAGGAGCTGAGGCTGCGTCTTATACTGTGCCGGATAGATTTTTTCTCTGCTCCACCTCTGCTGTTCTTCACCTCTGCAGGTCGCTCGGCGATGGCACGCAGAGGAAGGGTCCGGGTGATTGGGTTAAAGATGATGGCGCCCGAGGCCTTGGAGATGGGCCGACGCCCGCCCACGTAGAATTGGATCAGAGCAGGAACGCTGTCAAAGCGATCTTCTTCAAACTGGAACAGTTCCCGAGAGTAGCCCTGTCACACAGATAGAGACAGACACGCATGTTGGATTAATCAGAGCTTTTGAAATCAAATATGGAAATCAAACAGGTTAACGTTATATTTAGTTATCACAAGTCAGCTTGGATACATGACAGCTGCAATTTTAAAACAATGTCTTTAAAAACAATTAAAGACGACAACAATCCACTTTGGTCTTGACCCTGCTTGAATTAGTTGTTATTCGTCATTCCAGTCAGAATTAAACTCTGGTTTAACCTAACGGAGGTTGTTTAAAGATTACAGGTAAGACATTAACTGTTCAAATCCTTTCCACCTAACCCCCCACTAAAAAGATCAGAGTTATTCAGTTCTTTGGTTCTTATAGTGTGAATTATTAGTGTGGTTGTTATTGTTGTCTGTACTTTATATGTTCTGTATCGAACAAGTTGTAAATGAGTCCTCGTGGCTCAATGAGACTAACCTCTATAAATAAAGGTTGAATGAATAAATCAATGTTTATGAAGCATTCACGCTACTGTGATCCATTTTTCTTCTGTACAATTTTCGGCGCGATTCTCGTTCCACAGTTTTCAAGATATTTCAACAAATCATAAATTAAAACGTTGAGCACTTTCAGGACAATCCAGCTACGACTTTTGGTATTGGTGCAACTTTAGCTTTTTGAAATATTTAGCCTTTTCTGCCATTTTTTTCTCATAGAAAATGAATTGAGCTGATTTTACATCCTTCATATCTTTTGGTCAGTTTATAACCTTTTACTGCTCCTTTCACATTTTATTCTGGTTCAGCTTCCTTGAGCAAATTTAAACATTTTTCAGCTACTTTCAGCTGTTTTTTTTTCCCAGCTGTTTTTTGCTCCTTTCAGATTCTTTTTGTTAACTACAACATTTTTGTGCTTCTAACTTATTTCTGTTAATTGCAGTTTATTTTTGCTCCATTCAGCTTATTTCTGCTAGTTTCAGTAATTTCAGCTGATATTTAGCCGTTTTATGTTTATTTGAGCTTTTTCAGCTATTTCCACTTTTTTTGCACTCATTTTAACTTTTTTCTGCCTATTTCAGAAAAAAAATATCTCTCTACTTCTGGTAATTTAAGCTTCTTTCTGCTTTTTAGCTAATTTTCAGCTGTTTTTTGTTTGTTTTGTTGCTAATTTAAGCCTTTTTTAAAGCTAATTTCTACTTTTTGTGGTAGTTTATGTTTCTTTCAGCCTAGTTGGGCAAACGTAGTCTTTCTGCTTTTTTATGCTAATTTAAGCTTGTTCTTACTTTTCAGCTACCTTATTAGCATTTTTAGCTAGATTTAGCTTTTTCAAATAAATTCTAGTTTTTCGTGGTACCTTCTGCTACTTTCAGCCTAATTATTTCTGCCTATTTCAGCTTGTTTATGCTCTCCTCAGCCTTTTACTGGCAGTTTCAGCCTTTTCTGCTATTTCAGCTACTAATTAGCTGTTTCATGCTAATTTTAGCTTTTTAAGCTATTTCCACATTTTTATCTCATTGCTGCTCTTTCCATTTCCATCTGGTAGCTTATTTCTGCCTTGGCAGCTACTTTTCAGCACTTTTTTGTTGCTAATTTCAGCTTTTTTTAAACTAATTTCCATTTTTTGTGCTAATTTCCGTTTATTTAAACCAAATTCAGCAAATGTGTTTTGTCTGCTTTCTTCTTCTAATTTAGGCTTGTTCTTAATTTCAGCCACATTTCAGAATATTTTAGCTAATTTCAGCTGTTTCAGCAAGTTCTTCAGTGATAAGCATTCGTACTGCATTTTCACAGGAAGTGCGATTTCTCTAGTTGTGGTTGCTGTTAATGGTCTTGAATGAAATATTTACACAATTATTTCAATCCTTCTGTTTAAATGAATTAACACAGTTGTTAATGTGAACTACAATAAACGAGCCTTGACTTGGATTTAAAGCTGATTGTATTAAAAAAAATCATATCTAAATACAAAGAAAAATCCTTGGGAAAAAAATTGTATCACAAAGAGAATGTTATTAATTGCTAACACTAGTTTATACTTGTTTTATTTTGTTTTATATTAACAAACTTCATTAAATACTTCAGCACAAGTCATAATTTCCAAAGTGTCAGTGTGATCTGTGTTCCTCAATAAAGAATCACAAATCCAAAGTGAGAAATTTGTGATATCAAAACAAAGACAATCGTTGAAGTTGATTAAATAACTGTAAAATGTGCAGGTGAATAAAATATTACATAGACGCACCTTCTTAGGCCGAAGGACCACTTTAATGACCTTAAAGTGCATCGGAGAGTTCTTCCAAAAGCAGCTCAGAACATAGTCACCGGGAGCAGAGCTCGAGTCTCGGACCAGGAAGTCTCCGTCCCTCTCGAACAGAGACTCTGCAGCCTGGAGACGAGTCCATAGGTTAACTCGGTCAAATGAACATGAAGGTTCACACTTCTGTTGATATTTAACCAGACATCAGTTATGCAAAGTGTGTGGCAAGTGTCAAAACTTTAGTTCACCATTTTAATATGTGCATTTTTATATCTTCTTCTCATTGGCAGAATGTTTATAGTTCAGTCTATCACTGTAAATGACATTTTATGGAGCATCATTACAGTGAGCTGTATGTAAACATGCAAGATACTAAAATGAACATGGTTATGGGGTGCCGTTTGTAAAGTTACACAGTCAAAAATTAACTGCAATATTTTGGTTTATGTAGCCTTTCATAAGAAAAAATAGTTTTATTTTTCAATGTCATATTTTCACCATGTTATTCATACATTTATAAATGTCATAGTTCCAAATAAAAAAATATATATATAAATAAGCTAAATATTTAGTTTACAAACTAAATACTTAACTTGCAAATTAAATATTTATTTAGCAAGATAAATATTTAGTTCCACGCTAAATATTTAGTTTAAAAACTAAATGTTTATGTCCAAGCTTAATGTTTAATTTACAAACTAAATTTTTAACTTGCAAGTTAAATATTTAGCTAGCAAGTTAAATATTTATGTACAACCTAAATATTTAGTTAGCAAATTAAATATTTAGTTTAGGAATTAAATGTTTGGCTTAGAAATTAAACGTTTAGTTTATAAAGTAAATATTTAGCTTGGACAATAAATACTTAGTTTGGAAATTAAACATTTAGTTTTGAAAATAAATATTTACCTTGGAAATGAAATATTTAATTTACACCTAAATATTTAGTTCATATTTAACTTGCATGTTAAATATTTAGTTTGTAAATAAAACATTTATCTTGAACATAAACATGTAGTTTTTAAACTAAATATTTAGTTTTGGAGCTAAATATTTAGCTTGCTAACTAAATATTTAACTTGCAAGTTAAGTATTTAGTTAGCGAACTATGACAGTTATAAATATATGAATAACATGGTGAAAATATGGCTTAGAAAACAAAACTTTTTTTTCTTATGAAAGGCTAAATAAACCAAAATCCATCCATTATCTTTACCCGCTTATTCCATTTTGGGTCACGGGGGTCGCCGGTGTCCATGTCCAGCAATCAATAAACCAAAATATTGCTGTTAATTTTTTATCGTGTAACTTTACAAACGGCACCCCATACTGGGTGCACCAAACTACTGTGTAATTCTTGAAAGCAATGCAGACTACAGACTGCAGCTTTAAAAGTTATTACATAATTCAGTCGAGTTCTCTATGAAACATGTTTCTGCAAAATCCAATCAAATCCCCGACTGACAACACGACTCTCAGGAAGTAATGTAAAAATAAGCATTACACTTCTACAAGTCTCAAACTGCATTTTTTCTAAACAAAAATGTGTATATACAGAAGCATATTAAATATATTGGATTTATGACACCAGAGTTTGTCCTTGTTGCCGCCTGCTTCAGTGGTTGCCTAGCAACCCAAAGATGAGGACAATACTCCATTAGGATTTTTTTTTGTGCTATATTTGCTATATTATATTACATTTAATCAATGCCAGACCATTTTTTAGGGTAAACGGAGCTTCTGAAGAGTCATTTAATAAGAGCGCCAAAAAAGTGTCATACTGCATCCTGTAGAGTATTTATTAGATGAGCATGCATTAAAATATTTTCATGCAAATAGTTTGCACCTCGCGGCTCAGCAGCCCGTGGTACCACGCATGGCTCCTTGGATCATTTGTGCTGAGCTTCAGCTCCTCTTCAAGCTCCTTCTTCAGTAGGTCCATCTCTTTACGGCCACCGAACATCTACAAAAAGCCACAGCAGCTCAACAAACGCCACAGTTACATCGTCGCCCCCATTCAACTTGGCATGAGTGAGGCTTTGAAGGGCAATGAATAGAGGAGGCTGTTTGATTACCTTGAGGTGGCTGAAGTACGTGCTAATACTCCTCCTCTTACTGGAAAACAAGAGCAGAAGGGATATGAAGGTTACTATAAAAAAACAGTGGAGAGCCCTGTTTTTCCACAAACTAGACCAGGATAGAAGGCCAAGGTCTGGGTCTGTCATTAACAGCAGAAAAACTATGACTTTTTATAGCCAGCCTCGTTTTCCTCCTTCCTTCCTCCCTGAGCGTCCACCTTCCTGCCTCCGTCAGGTCATTAGGCTCTCACACGAAGAGCTCAGAGCAGCTACAGGAGGGTTGAACGAAACAAAATCATATCAACAATCAAAAAATAAATAAATCTACGTCTGAACCAGATCACGAGAATTTAAATTACAAGAATTTATTTTATATTTTTCCCATTTTAAAATCACTAAGTTAGAAGCTTTTTAAAACTTAAATGATTTTAGGGACCAAATAAAAACACTTACAGGCAAATTTATATTACTAAATGTTTGTTAGATATAAACTAAGTTTAATTTGATTTTAGAGGTCATAACTTGTATTGCTTTAAACAAACGGAATTTGTTTTTTTTATTAAAGTTACAGCTTAATTTCCTGTTTACTTTTTTACCTACACATAAAACAATGGATATGTTTTTATGAAAGTTAATCATTAAACAAAATAACAGCATTATGTGTAAAAAAAAATCACCATCAAAATAATTGTTTCTATTATTCCTTTGAGCAAAAGTTACCTTAAGCTCCTATTTAACTCCAAGCTGTCAGAAAAAAATATTTATTTAAGGAAATAAAATATTCAGTCTAAATAATTCAACTTTGTTGGTTTTAAATGTTAAGTGGGAAGTACTTGTCCTAAAAAACATAAGTAAGTTAACATTCCATGATTTCCTGCCATGACCTTCATAAATGACCTTCATTGACCCATTTATCTCAGTTCAGGACCAGTAAAAGCCTTGAACGCTACAACCCCCCTCCATGAAACACCTTGTAATGATAACAACAATCCTTCCTGTTCTTCATAATTTCTTATTTTTTTGTAAACAAATTCACAAACGATGTTTAAAACTGGACTGCTTTGTTTTTGATTAGTTAATTTGTCTTTTAAATTATGAAAAAAATAAAACTATTGGAAGAGAAAAACAAAATTTGACTCTCCTAAAAGTTCAGACCTGGACTCAGCAAAAAAAAAAAAAATTTAAATAGATAAAAATGGTGCATTTGAAACCGGTAAAAAAAAAAAAAGAAGTAGGTCTTAATTAAAAATCTGAAATCAAGTCATATTTTTTTCTATATAACTGAACTTTCTCTCTTATTTTCAATTCAATTCAGTTTATTTATATAACGCCAAGTCACATAAGAAGTCATCTCTGGCACTGAACAGAAACATTCATATACATAAATAAATAATTTAACATTATTTATCTGAGGAGCAGACTGCTTTGAGTTCTCGTCACAGAACTCTCATCTTGAGCAAGCATGAAGGCGACAGTGGAAAGGAAAAACTCCCTCATGAGGAAGAAACCTTTAGCAGAACCAGACTCAGGACAAGCGACCATCTGCTTTGACCGGCTGGGTTTGAGAGGAACAGATACACAATGGCAGGTCGAGAATAACGTTAAGATAGAAATAGAATCAAATGAAAACGATTTAATTTTAACAATTCATTTTAAGAAATGGTCAATTTGTCCTCCATTAGTCTAAGCTTAAGGCAGCATAACAAGCCAACCCTAACTATAGGATTTATCTAAAAGGAAAGTCTTAATCCCAGTCTTAAAACTGGACAATGTGTCAGCCTCATGGACAGAAACTGGAAGTTGGTTCCACAAGAGAGGAGCCTGATAACTGAAAGATCTGCCTCCCATTCTGCTTTTGGAAACTCTAGGAACCTCGAGTAAGCCTGCAGTCTGAGAGTAAAGTGCTCTTTTAGGAAAATATGAAACAATAAGATCTCAAGTATAAGATGGATCTAGGTTGTTGAGGGCTTTGTATGTTAAAAGATTTTGAATTATATTCTGAATTTGACAGAGCCATTGGATAAAAGATAAAACTGGAGAGATATGATCTCTCCTTCTAACGATTTTCCAATTTTTTTTTTGTTTCCTACATTTTTTTTCGAAGCTTCTGTGAATACTTACCGATGTGCCTTTATTGTGTAACTTTACAAAAGTCTTAACTCTACAGGCTGTCCTCCCCAGAGGGCCATAAATTAAACTGAAACATGAGTGCAGTATATATATTAATGATACTATAATATAATATAATATGTAAAATACACAAAGAATGGCTGCATAGTATTTCCCTAACAAGACCTAATGAAATAAACATTAGTTGGATTTTTCTAGATTGTTAAATGTTTTCCTTCAATTTTTTTTTACCCTTGACAGATTTGTCAGAAGTTCAATCAGAACTTTTTTTATATATTGTTTTGATAAGTTAAGATAAAAAATAAACAACAATTGTAGGGGGAGGGTGTTCTCGACAGATATTTCATTAGAAGTTGTCAGCAACTTTAACGTTTAGCCAAAAAGCAGAAGATGTGGCTAAAGGGGAGCACAGACCTCATTTTAACGTATTACTAAAATACAGATTTTTATATTAATTTCTAGTTCACTTGTTTAAGATTTCATTTGAGAATGTTAACGTTGAATTGAGATGGCTAAAGGGCCACTTCTGGCCCCGGGGCCTTATTTTGCCCCGGTGTGGTCTGTCCTGACTGACAGAGAGCAGACTGTTTTATGGTGCGTGTTTGATTTCATAATAAAGATAGAATTCAGTGGATTCCACAAGACCTTCTTAGTCCTCTTTTATTTAATCTTTATTTATTCTCTCACATGGTTCTATCATTGAGTGACACATTTATCACTTCTTTAGCTGACAAAACACAGATTAATAAATCTGTTTCTGTCCAAGACCAGCTTTGAAGGAACGTCTTAAATAAAAGAGAACAAAACAGCTTTTGGTCGGTCCCAAGTCTCTGTAAAGTATATAAAACTGAATATACGTAACATCCGTCTACCTTATGGCAAGCCCATGAGTACAATAATCATGACGATTTACAATACAACATTGTAAATACATCTATCTTTTTGTTTGTTTGTTTGTTTGTTTGTTTGTTTGTTTGTTTGTTTGTTTGTTTGGACACCATATGTCCTCATTGGACTGGTGCACATTTTGAATATACTGTCACATGAAAATTATGCTGCAGTAAAACAACATATCAGAATTGTAAACATCATTTCACGTTATGTGTAGAAGCACTAGACTGAGGAACAGCTTCTACCATGAGGCTGTTAGACTCATGAATCTCTAATCAGGATCATCACTGTGAAAAATCACATCATGTTGCTGCTGATCTGTTTCATGTTGCTGCTGATCTGTTTCATGTTGCTGCTGATCTGTTTCATGTTGCTGCTGATCTGTTTCATGTTGCTGTGTTCATTCGTGCTCATCTACTCTTGTCTGTGCTGCTGTTCGGCGTATTGGGTTTCTTGTTTTTATGCCATTAGTGCTTAGTGTATATATTTAATTGATGTTTTTCTTAGTTCGTATCTTAGATCTTCTTTTACATTTTATTGTTGGATGTAACTGGGACACATATGGTGGAACGACGAGAAAGAATCTCTGAATCTGAGTGAAGTTATAGAAAGGACATGGAGGTATTTGGAGTGAGGACAGAGTGAGACGGAGGAGGATGACTCGCTGTGGTGACCCTTGAAGAGGGAATAGCCAAAAGATTTTTAAAAATCAATCAGAATACTGTGCTTTTTTTTTTGTTTTGTTTATTTTTTTTCCTACAGCCAGATTACTAACCACATCCAGCAGGTATGAATATATCACACCTTCTCTAATATCTTAAGCACAGAATCACTTTTTTAAGCCTTAAATGACCGGGCTCCTTCCTCTATTGTTAAAGTGCTCACTGAATCACTGAATACACTTCAGTTAGACCCTTAAGAATAGCAAGCAATAGTCTACGAATAAACTAGAACTGCGAGCAGTTATTACCAGGTCCAAGCCACGTGAAGCATGTCAACCACAGTGCATGTTGTCCCAGCACCTGACAACCCCTAGTGTATCACTGATTTGTGGCATAATGAGGGGTGATTGTACGGTGTACCTGAGGCCCTAACGTCTCTGCATGTGTGTGTAATGTTTTTTCTTATACACATTGACTTATATCCAAGCTATAGTTTAGGGGCAAGAGGGCAAAAAGTTTTCACTTTTGTTTAAGCATCACTTTTGTAACGCTTTGCCTCTGAGTAGTAGCTATCAGCAATTCTGATAATAATTACAATTGTAGTTAGAACAAAAAAAAGTTTTTAAAACATACCTTTTTGTTAAAAAAAAAAATCACAGATCAGTTTTGGTATTGTTGCATAAAAAATGATTTACACTCAATGGGCTTGTATTCATGGGAAAGAAGTCCAAATTAGTATTCCAACAATTAGGTTGTTTTTTTGTTTTTTTGTTTTTTGAGAAAGGGCTTTTTTTTATTTTGTGTGTGTGAGAATTAACATTGGCAAAAATATTACAAAGATACACACATATGGTGTTGCTAATATTAGCACAACCCCATGTCTGAGTTAAAACCTGTTTTATGATTGCAAAGGTCACTTATGAAAGAACTGCATTTTGAATCAGGATGGTTTTAAAATTGCATCAGCTGTAGATGCACATCTAATGATTGTTGCACAATGGTAAGCACCTGGAGTAAATGCTGACATCACTCTCAGTTACTACCACAGCATTTTGAAAGTCACTGAATTATAGGTGCTTGGTGTCTGCTAATCTTAAATATTTGTGGTGGCCACTAAAATGGAATTTATTTATGTTTGAGGTACAAATTCAGTTTTCAATTCAATTAATTTCATTTCAGTATATTTATGTAGCACCAAGTCACAACAGAAGTCATCTCAGGGCACTGAGCAGAAACATTCAAATAAAAAGTAAGTTCATAACAATATTTATCTGAGGAGCAGACCGCTTTGAGTTTAACTTCATCACAGACTCTCATCGTGAGCAAGCATGAAGGCGACAGTGGAAAAGAAAAACTCATTCATGAGAAAGAAACCTTTAGCAGAACCAGGCTCAGGACAAACGGCCATCTGCTTTGACCGGTTGGGTTTGAGAGGAACAGGAAGGAGGAACAGATACACAATGGCAGGTCAAGAATCATGTTAATATAAATATACTATCAAATGAAAACTATTTATTTGTAACAAATCATTTTAAGAAATTATGTCATTTTGTCTTCTAGTAGTCTAAGCCTATAACAGCATAACAAGCCAACCTAACTATAGGATTTATCAAAAAGGAAAGTCTTGAACCCAGTCTTAAAACTGGACAATGTGTCAGCCTCACAGACAGAAACTGGAAGTTGATTCCACAAGAGAGGACCCTGAGAACTGAAAGATCTTCCTCCTATTCTGCTTTTGGAAACTCTAGGAACCACAAGTAAGCCTGCAGTCTGAGAGCGAAGTGCTCTGTTGAGAAAACATGGAACAATATGATCTGTAAAATAAGATGGAGCTAGGTTGTTGAAGGCTTTGTAAGTCAAAAGCAAGATTTTGAGTTCTATTCTGGATTTGATGGGGAGCCAATGAAGAGAAACTAAAACTGGAGAGATATGATCTCTCTTACTACCATTACAACTCTGGCAGCAGCATTTTGGATCAACTGAAGACTTTTTAAATGAGTTTTTGGACCCAGGTTCAAATAATCAATACATATTGGCAATTTCATCAAATTAGTTACCATCCAGACTTTTTTAGCTACTATCACACTAATAAGTTACCGTTGCTATTCATTTAATTTTAAGCACATAAAGTTTGACGCCTGACAAATCAAACAGTCTTGGCCCCTTTAAGAGTTTTTTTTTTTTTTTTGTCTGTTAAGAAATCTGTGGTTTACCACTCTGCAGGAGGGGCGTTGGTCCAGGTAACACCGCAAAAAACACCTGTGCTGCAATGTGTTTTGGAGAAACCATTGCGAAATGTGACACCAGTTGCACCACATGTTTCATGACAGCTCAGCGACCACCTAAAAGGTATTTCCTCTTTGCAACCTGACACCTCGGAGATAACAAAAAGAGCAGCTGTCAGGAGCAGAAAGTCTCCACACTGTCCATAAACTGGAATAGTTGCGCAACAGCTGGCAGAACTAACAGATAACAACCAGACAGTAGCAACTGTCAAGATTTGTTCTTAAGAAAATGGAAACTAAAACAGTTTTAAACTATTTAATGTTTGTTAAATAGATGTCTAAATTCACAGACAGGAGGTGACATCAGCCACCTTAATTACCTGATCAGGGCGCCTTGCAGCTCACTCAGTCCTGGGCATGTTTTACAGCTTGTGGTCCGAGCTCTAACCCACCAAACAACAGCTGAAGCAGTAAAGGTTCTGCCTTTTCTCCTGCTCTGGTCCCTCCCATCCTCTCCTCCCTGCTGCCCAGAACCCGGACGAGTTCTCACAAGTTCTCCTCCTCCCCTCCCAATCCCCCGGTGCTCAAACCCCACAGTGTTTAGCTCACATTCCTCAGATACCAACACATCACCTGGTCACAGTCTGCTCAGACTCTGCACATTTTACTGCATGAAGTGGTGTATATATACTGTCCCCTGCAGTAACTTCTCACTTTTATTCCCTAAAGCCATTAAAGGTTTTATTGTGGCAGCTCGGTGAGTTTATGGTCACTGTGCGGCTCCGTGTTTCTCAGGTGTTTTACCTGTTTCAAACCGGAAAACAAGATGGCTGCCACAGCTAACATTAACAAACATTAAGAATAGCTTTAACTCACCTAATGTTCCAGAGATTGAGTCAAAATTTGGTGTGGTAGTAGCTGAGAGTCATGTTCAACAAATACACTTGAGTGCTACTTGACCAGGCAAATTTTGCTTTTAAAACATCAAAGTTCAATAATCCAGATAATAAATCCAACCATGTTAACTCAGGCCGTCTGGACGGTTTCTTTGTGTTGAAACGTTTCATCCTTCATCCAAAGTACTTCATCAGTCCAAGGAGCTGTAACAAACTCAGTCCCACAGGCAGCACACTCATAGTGGACCAACCAGTTTGATTTTTTTTATAAGCTGGTTTCTGGAGTCCGTCCTCTCCCCTGTTGTCTCCTCTGAGGCAGCCATGGACAAAATGGTTCAACATTATTATTATATTGAGCATGAAGTTTGATGTTTTGAACCACTTTGGCCATGGCTGCCTCAGACGAGTCGGCGGGGGAGAGGATGGACTCCAGAAACCAGCTTATCACCACCAAATTGGTTGGCCCACTATGTGAGTGTGCTGCTTAAAAGACTGAGTTTGTTGTGGCTCCTCGGCAGGGCCGGCCCAAGGCATAAGCGAACTAAGCAGCTTCTTATGGCCCCGGGACCACTAGGGGGTCCCCTAAGTGAAACTGAATTATTGTTTTTAGTAATGATTTCTATATAATTCTATTTAATATTTTAAGTTCAGCTTTTGCAAATTGTTTCTTACATTTACATAGTTTTAAACTTTAAAATGTCTTTTTTAAACCATTTTACGTGGTTTCAAGTAATTTTTTTTTGTTTGTTTTTGCACAATTTATTTTTTTGCATCTATTTTATATGTTTGTTGGTGATCTTGCACTACAAATTATTTTGAACATAACTGTTGCAGTTCTTTGGAACAAACGATAATAAACAGACGACGCTTTTGCTGTAAAATACATTTCATGCTGGTGTCTTGTTTTTTTTTTCGTTTTGTTTCTTTTAGTACCATTAGATCACGTGTGTCAAACTCAAGAAGCGTGGGCCAAATCCAGCCCACCATAACCATTTCTGTGGCTCTCTACTACACCCTAGATGATACGTACATATATGATAATGTAAAAAGGGCTGTCAAAGTTGCGATGAGTTTATGTTAGGTGAGTGAATGATCTGATCTGACTGTTGATTGCAGTAATCCACATTATTAGCAGAAATAGAGGGCCCCAAATCAAATTTCGCTTAGGGCCCCATGGAGGCTTGGGCCGGCACTGCTCCTTGGACTGAAGAAGTCTCTTGTATGAGAGATGAAACATTTCACACAAAGAAACCGTCCAGAAGACCATTTGCTTTTAAAACCTTGCCATAAGGTCAACCAAGCTTGTCTGTTATCAAAATATCATGAACCACCAGATAAATTTTAATGAAACTGGGGAAAAAATATCATTGGGTGTACATCTTCAACTCTTGAACTTTTGGAGTCATTCCAATTCTAGGTGGTCGCCACAGCTAATTAAAGATAGCCAAAACAAAAGAAAGTCTGTGACTATCCATAAAGCTCTAACTGGGTGTGGTTGTAGCTGAGCATCATGCCAAACACATATCAGAGCACAGCACAACAAACTTTTGGCATTAGCCGCTAACATCAAGCACAACAGCTGATAAACATTAGAAAAACAAAAAGATGTTAACTCAGTCAACTTTAGAAGTATTCAGCTAAAACACGGTGTGGTAGTAGCTGAGAGTCATCTTTGACACATTCCAGATCACTGAAACTCTCACAATATTGCAGAACATAACTTCATTTACAAAGTTTGGACCAAAGTGGTGGAAACTTGCTTTTCAGCGTGAATTAATTTCAGACTAAAACTCTGACATGAAAGGAGGTGTGTGATATGCACTCCTTCAAACATCCATCCATCCATTTTCTTTACCCGTTTATTCCATTTTGGGTCACGGGGGTCACTGGTGCCCATGTCCAGCAATCACTGTGCGAGGGGTGGGGTACACCCTGGACGGGTCGCAAGTCCATCACAGGGCCACATAGAGACAAACGAGACAAACAACCATTCACTCTCTCACTCACACCTAGGGGCAATTTAGAGTTACCAATCAGCCTAACTTGCATGTTTTTGGTCTGTGGGAGGAAACCGGAGCACCCGGAGAAAACCCACGCATGCACGGAGAGAACATGCAAACTCCACCCAGAAAGGCCCCTGGACCGGGGTTTGAACCAGGGACCTGCTCACTGAGAAGCAGCAGCTCTACCAGTTGCGCCACCGTGCTGCCCTCCTTCAAACAATGCAAGCTTTATTATTAAAAATAAATAAATAAATCTGAAAATGATTCATATTCTTAGTTTTGTTCACAAAAATACAATATATGAATGGAGTTTTTTGTTGTAAACTGTCACACACACAGGAAACAAATCACTTCAAAAAGTAACAGCTACATAGGGGTGAATTGTTGTTTGGCCTTTTCTTCAGTGTGAGTCTAGACTTCAGAGACACACACTTTATCCTTTCAATTAGACTAAATGTAATCTGAGTATCAAAGGCTCAAGGTATGTACTTACTGGGTTAGTATTCAAAACACTGCTTTTTTTCTTTGTTGCTGAAAGTCAGACGCACAGTAAGTACAAGTACATGCTCTTCAATATCTGTTAATAGTTTTTTCTTTAAAGTTTTTTTCAGCCTGTTTGTCAATGACTTGCTGGGACTGTCAAAGTCCTACAACTTTTACGAGGTACAAATTAATTATTAGCCAAACACAAACAGGCTCCCAGGGAAAAGTCACAATCCATGTCACACACACAAACAAAGCACTGTCTTACCTGTGTCTGTTCTCTTGGCTGAGATTGTTGTCCTCGTTCAGGGGGAGGAGCTGTGAGCAGGAAGCAGACAGGCGGTGTTTCTTGTCAGCGCGCTGGAGGCGGGGAAGAACACTCTGACGAAACAAGTCCTTCGGCTTTTCCTGTAAAATGCGATCAAAGCCCAAACTTGAATTAACGACTTTTACACTTTTTTTTATGCTTTCATATAAAGTGTAAGCAAATAGGTTGCTTTAAAATTCCAAGTCAAGTTTAAACACCACAGAAAAGGTATTTTGTGAATATACCATTGGCGTTAGAAGCATTTGTAATGTTGGGGGAGGGGTGGGGGTTCCCTCTCCCAGAAATTTTTGAATAAAGTAGATGCTATTTCCCTCATTCTGATGTATTTTAACGGGTTGTTAAACATTTACATTTACCTACATAAGTGAACACTTGGGTCAATAACTATTTTAGAGAGCATGGCGCAAGAAGTACCTGACCAACAGCTCACCTTATGTGAAGAGAGCACGCTCCACTTCTCTCACGCATCCTAACACCCCCCCCCCCCCCCCAACCCCGATCAACAACCGCCGGCACGAATGTGGCGCTAAGCTAGTGGGCAACACAGAGGCGTCTCCCCCTCCTCCCCCAACCCTGTCCACACAAAAAAAAAAAACACCAGAGATGAGCACCCTGCCAAGCCAAGTGATCCAGGGGAAACACTGCGTGGTGTGGTGAGTTATTGTAGGTAACCAAGAAAACCTGGAGTGGATTTTTAGTGGTATGAGTATTCTCCTATTAATCAAGTGGAATGGATTTGTTCACCAAAAAAAAAGAAACAGAGCTGGGTGAACTAATATTTCATGGTAAATGTGGGCAGTCCAAATTAGTATTTTTTTAAATGTGAGGGGGACATGTCCCCGTCACATATAATTGTTGCGACACCTATACACAGGGTTTTTTTATTCACCAGCCTTGCATCCACACTGGAACTGTATTTTTGTGCCCCCAAATTGTATTTTTGGGGTTCTAGTATGAAGCAATTCTCCAAACGTCACCCTTTTTTCCCCCATGTAGACAGCCAAAACCCCAGCTATTGAAAATAATGACAATGTAACCCCACCCCTAATCTTAACTGATCATTTGAAAGCTTCCTCCTCTTCTTTTTGTTTACGTTCACAAGAGCAAATAAGAGCACATGCTCCATGCTTTGTTTCCTGTTTTTGGTGCATTTCTGTAGCAACGCTGCAGTGCCACATACAGGCCTGGCACACTCACTGTAGTGTTTTGAGTCATTTTTGGTGTTTTAGTATTTATACATTTCTAGAAATGGTTTGGTGTTTTCGAGAATATAAAATACAAAATAAAAGAGTTTGGGGTTTCTGTGTGGATTTGGCCTTAGTTTGCCTGACTGACATCTGTTGTCATGTTGACATGTATTACTAACTTATTTAGGTAATAAATGTCAATTTAAATTTTAAATAATACTTTTCAAAACATTTTATTTTGTCACAACAATTTCAAACATATCCAACATTTTTCAGTCAGGTCATCTGGACAGTTTCTTTTTTTTTTTGTGCTGAAACGTTTCTCCTTCAATCCGGAAGGCTTCATCAGTCAAGGAAACGCACAAAAAAACTGATTCTTCCCCCAACAGCTTACTCCAAAGTGGAACAAACCACTGTTTGTGCTAAACTGTTGGGGGAAGATTCAGTTTTGTTGTGTTTCCTTGACTGATGAAGCCTTCCGGATTGAAGGAGAAACGTTTCAGCACAAAAAAAAAAAGAAACTGTCCAGATGACCTGACTGAAAAATGTTGGATTGTATACCTGGATTATTGAGCATGGACTTTGTTAATTTCAAACATAGTTTGTTAAACTCGTAAAATAACTTCCTGAAATACCAAAAAGAAGGAAGAAAAACATTTTTTTTACAGTGTATTATATTTCCTGGTATCCATACAGGTGAAAACCACATTTTACAAAGAGACATTATGGTTTGAGAAGGTGTCTGTTTGAAACTTTGCAGCCTCACCAAATCTGCATATGATCCCAGGGAGTAGTTTCGGCTGACTCTGCGCTTCACAATCTGCTGGTCTGAGAGAAGAAAATTCATTTTCAAGAAACATCTGAGGCTTTTATTGAAATGTCTGTTTCCTTTTCATAGACTTAAAGAAACAGAAGGTTTTTTTTTACCTCTCTCTCATCTGTTCGTTAAAAATGAAACTGTAAAAAACATTTTTTTATGAAAGCGTTAGCATGTTTATTCTTTTACAAAATGCAGGACATTGCTTTCTGTTGTCTTTGCATTAAACCAGGCTACGTGTCTCATTTTTAAGTTGCAAAGTGATTAAATGTATTTTTATAAATAAACTGAGTGACATCCATCCATTTTCTTTTACCTGATTTTGTTCATTCTGGGTCACAGGAGTCACTGGTGCCCATATCCAGCAGTAACTGTGTGAGAGGCGGGGACACCCTGGACAGGTCTCCAGTCCATCACAGGGACACATAAAGACAAATGAAACAAACAACCATTCACACTCTCACTCACAGCTAGGGATGATTTTGAGTTACCAATTAGTACCTGGAGAAAACCCATGCATGCGACATTGTTGCTGTGAGACAACAGCTCTCACCACGGCTCGCCATGCTACATTGGGTGATATTTGGGTGATACATCAAAACAACCATCAACATCAACGAGGACCCTCATCAGTATGCATACCGTGAGAACCGATCAACAGAGGATGCCATCTCCTCTGTGGTCCACACTTCTCTCAACCACCTGGAGCAGAAAAACTCTTACGTCCATATGCTCTTTGTGGACTTCACATCTGCCTTCAACACCATGATCCCCCAAACCCTGACGGACAAACTATTCACACTAGGACTAAGCCCCTCAATTTGCAACTGGGTAATAGACTTCTTAACAAACAGACCACAGTCTGTGAGGATCCACAACTTCTCCTCCTCCACCATAACCCTCAGCACTGGCTCTCCTCAGGGATGTGTGTTGAGCCCCCTCCTGTTTACTCTGCTCACGCATAATTGTGCAGCTACCCTTCCAGGCTGTCACATTGTAAAGTTTGCAGATGATACAGCGGTGGTGGGATGCATCACAAACAATGATGAGCCCAGCAACAGGAAAGAGGTGGAACACCTGGAGAGCTGGTGCAAAGAGAATAACCTTCACATCAATGTGAAGAAGACAAAGGAGATGATTGTGGACTTCAGAAGGAACAAACACACCTACACCCCACTGAACATAAGAGGATCTGCAGGGGAAGTGGTCTCCAGCTATAAGTACTTGGGTGTACACATAAATGACAACCTCAGCTGGAGCAACAACACCACCAGCCTGATCAAGAAAGCTCATCAGAGACTCTACTTCCTCAGACAGCTGAGGCGAGCTGGTCTGAGAAGCTCAGTCCTCACCTCCTTCTACAGGTGTGCAGTGGAGAGCATTCTGTGCTCCAGCATCAACGTGTGGCATGGAGGCTGCACAGCTGCAGAAAGAAAAGCTTTGCAGAGAGTGGTGAAGGCTGCACAGAAGTCTGTTGGAGTCAGTCTCCCCACCATCACAGACATCTACACCTCCAGATGCAGAAAGAGGGCCACCTGTATCATGAAGGACCTCACTCACCCAGCACACACACTTTTTGCCCCACTCCCCTCAGGAAGGAGGTTGAGGAGCATTCAGTGTAGAACTACTAGACTGAGGAACAGCTTCTACCCTGAGGCTGTTAGACTCATGAATTTCTAACCAGAATAATCACTGTGAAAAATCACATCATGTTGCTGCTGATCTGTTTCAATTATGTTGCTGCTGATCTGTTTCAATGTTGATGTGTTCATGCGTGCTCATCTGTTCACACAGACTCATGTTCATGTTTGTCCTGCTGTTCGACATAATGTTTTTATGCTATTAGTGCTTGGTGTATATTTAGTTGATGTTTTTCTTAGTTCATATCTTAGATGTTATCGTTGTTTTTCCTTTTACATTTTATTGTTGGATGTAACTGGGACCCTGTGTACATAATTTCACTCCACCACATGTACCACATGAGGTGCGAATGACAATAAAGAATCTCTGACTCTCTCTGACTCTGATTTATTAGCTCAGAACATGCAGAAATAGCTTAAAGAAACTTGTAGATCCAAAGTATTTTATGTGTATAGTATTTTTTGTTGTTGTTTTGCTTTGTTTTGTTTTTCAGATTAAGATTCTCTCTCCCAGTTAGGTTGGTGAAATCCAAAGCAGGATGCCAATGGTAGAGTGAAGAGCCCTTTCCTGAGCGTCAGGCTAAAATAAAGTGAAAATTATAATAATAATAATAATAATGTCATCACAATGTCAGCACTGTATGTTTCCATACAATGGCGAAATTAGTCTCTGCATTTAACCCATCCACCACCAGGTGGTGCAGTGGGCAGCTATTGAAAGCGCCCAGGGGACATTTTGGGGATTAGACGTGCTGCCCAGAGACGCCACGTGATGTGCAGTGACTGGGGATCGAACCTGGGACTCTCGGGTCCCAAGCCGGCTGCCCTGCCTCTACACCATCTCGGCCCCATGACTGTTTCTTGGAGTGGCTCTCATGTCAGTTGATAATCTGCTTTATTTCTGAATATTTACCACAAACATATTTCAATTAGAACCCATACCATACCACTTTAAAGCATTTAAAACAGCAACAAGGCCAACCAAAGTGCTGTACAGCAGAAACAAACAAGCAAAGGACAGGTATAGATAGGATAGGAGATAAGACAGGATAGGTAAAGATAGTAACTAAACTACTAACATTATAGGACACAGACAAGTTAAAATAAACTCACAGTGTCAAAAGCCAGGGAATAAAAGTGAGTTTTCAAACAAAACTTAAAACAATAAGAGAGGGAGCCTGTCTGACATGCAGTGTTAACTCATTCCACAGTTTTGGACCTGCAACAGAGAAAGTCCTGTTACTTCTGAGCTTAAAACGAGTGCCTGGAACCAATAAAAGCAACTGGTCTGCTGATTTCAGTGAGCGCTGTGGGACATATGGCTGCAGCAGATCAGTGAGATAGGAGTGGGCAGAACTGTTCATAGATTTTAAAACATACATAAGAATTTTAAAATGAATTTGAAAGTGAACTGGGAGCCAGTGAAGGGAGGCCAGAACTGGAGTAATGTGCTTTCTTTTCCCTGTACCAGTTAAAAATTGGGCTGCAGCATTTTGAACCAGTTGCAAATGAACAATAGAGGTCTGACTGATTCCAAAAAGAAGCACATTGCAGTAATCAAGCCTGCATGTTATGAAAGCATGTATTACAGTCTCAAGATAACTTTTGGACAGTATGAGCTTCAATTTAGACAGTTGCCTCAACTGAAAAAAACAGAATTTAACAATCATATTTACATGGCTGTTAAGTTTCATGGAAGGGTCCATTATCCATCCATCCATTCTCTTCTGCTAATCCGGGGTCGGGTTGCAGGGGTAGCAGCCTAAGTAGGGAGGCCCAGATTTCCCTCTCCCCAGCCACTTGGGTCAGCTCCTCCAGGGGAATCCCAAGGCGTTCCCAGGCCAGCCGATAAACATAGTCCCTCCAGCGTGTCCTGGGTCTTCCTCTGGGTCTCCTCTCGGTGGGACGTGCCCGGAACACCTCACCAGGGAGGCGTCCAGGAGGCATCCTAACCAGATGCCCAACCGACCTCAACTGGCTCCTCTCCATGTGGAGAAGCAGCGGCTCTACTCGGAGTCCCTCCCGGATGACCGAGCTTCTCACCCTATCTCTAAGGAAGAGCTCAGACACGCTGCAGAGAAAACTCATTTCGGCCGCTTGTATCCGAGATCTCGTTCTTTCGGTCACAACCCAAAGCTCATGACCATAGATGAGGGTAGGAACGTAGATCGACTGGTAAATTGAGAGCGTCGCTTTTTGACTCAGCTCTTGCTACACCACGACAGACCGGTACAGCGCCCACTTCACTGTCGACGCTGCATCTATCCACCTATCGATGTCGCTCTCCATTTATTCCTCATTCGTGAACAAGACCCCGAGATACTTGAACTCCTCCACTTGGGGCAGGACCTCCTCCCCGACCTGGTCCATTATCTCTCCCATATTAGTGACAACTTGTTTCTCTAATGGGGCTAGAGAGGAAAGGTCGATACAGTGGTTCTTGATAGTGTCATTATGTGGAAACATGACTTCAGTCTTCTCATAAAGCCATCCAATCCCTGATGTCAACCAGGCAGTCAAGAAGAGCGTGGATAGAGCGTGTGCTACAACCTAATGTGACACATCAGCTTGATTCTTTAAGAACCACTGAGACGTTGGAGCAAAGAGACTGAGGACTTTAACCGATTTTGTCCAGACTTAGTATGCATCTTGTCTGATTGGATGTTTTCTGTGAGTCTGTGTGTTTTACCGGAGTGCAAGTCCAGTCTCTGTCGATGTCTCAAAAGCTGGGTGAGGATGGTTTCTCGATCGGCTGTATCTTCTATCCCAGCATCCCTCAGCTCTGCATCCGTTACATTCAGCAAACCCTGCAACAAAACAACAGGAAGAGCCGGTGCATTAAAAAATTAGTCCTCCAGGATTGTGTAGATGTTGACAGGATCCAAACACAAACAAAGAGCTTTTACAAACCTCTAGACCATAATATTCATTTTCTAGTGTCTTAGTGTACTGTGGCAAGCCGATCTGTCTCAGCCACCAGGCGATGGAGCGATTATTCATGTCTGTACATAAGGATAGAAAAGTTTCTGATTACATACCTGAGCAAATACTATAACACATGCTTCTACTCGTTTCCGTGCGGAAAAGCGTGTGGGAAAACAAATGAGGGATTTGTGTGACATCAACTGCCTTTTAGAAAGCAGTCAACCAGACACACATATGGACTGAAGCATTGGATCATCACACTTACCTGTTTAGAAGAGCGTAGCACTCTGGGAAATCGTTTTAAGCTAGTTTTGCATGTAAAATCTCTAATTCACTTCTTTCTTGTCTAACGTTCTTCTGTTTTCTTGTCTTCTTTGCAACTGCATTCACCCACGTTGCCCTACCTGTCATGAAGTCTCACTTTCTCTTTGTGGTGAAAGCCAACTCCCACCGCCCCATCTCAGACTAGTAGGGTCACTCAGAGGCCAATCAGATTGTGCAGTCGGGACAAAGCACCCCAAAAAGATAAGCAAATCACAGCACGGGAAGTAGAATAAGCTCTTCAGGGGGTGGAGGGAGCAGGTAGGTACATGTCACGGAGGAGAAGAAAAAAATAGATGTGGGGAGATGAAAATATTTTAGGCAGCTGTCAACATGTCAGATCAGAGATAGGAATGTGAACCTCAAACTAACTTTTTCTCATAGGTGGTGGAAACTGATGAATACAGTTACAGCAGGGAAACAATACTATTTAAGGGTGACATCTAGTGTTAAGATAAAAGCTACACAGATTCTCCATCAGGTCTTTTATGACAATTAATTCATTAAACCTTTATTTATACGTTAATTCCTATTGAGCCTCGGGGACTCACTTACAAGAGAGGCCTGAATTTTGTAACAAAGAGTGTTGACAAGAGTAGACAATCATAAAAGATGTGTACAATTTTTTTTTAACAAGTTAAAATAAAATGGCAACCAAAAGGACAGTCAAGAGGAAAAAAGTAGCAAAAAATACAGCAAGATTATGAGGCGGTGTAGAAAACTAAAAACAGGAACATGTCTGCATTGGTTCTTGCCAGGAACTTAACAGATGTTTAAAGCCACTTAGAGAGGTCAAGGTCGAGAGCTTCAGATCTTTTTGCAAGATAGTCCAGGAAACAGGAGCGGAGTAGGAGAAGGCCCTTTTACCAAGTTCAGTCTGCACTGAGGGAACACTGCAGGTAATAATGTCCTGGGAGCGCACGCTGTAGCTGCACTCACGCAGAGACATGTAGGAGGAGATGTATGAAGGCAGCAGACCAAGAAGTGATATAAAGATGGAAATGTACCTGTGGGAGAGTCTGTGTCAAGTTAATGATGTCCAGTTAACCAGTGAATACAGGGTGCAGTGGTGGGTACAGTAATTACATCCAGTCATGAATAGTGCACTGTGAAAGGCAGTTTCAAGATCATTTTTACTCGTGATTTTTTTAACTTTACGTTTTGTTAGACCATGCATCAGAGAGGTTAAAACTGTGTTTGTCATACTGTAGTTTGATTCTTTTTGTGGAGAAGGAGCATTCCTTTCCCCTCTTTTTGGGACAGGTGATAATAACGTCTGTTCTCGTTGTTAGAAAAATACATCATGAACCAGTGGATACATTTCGTTAAATCTTGCAGAAATGTTTTGGAGTCTGAGGCATTATCCTAAAAAGCTGCTTTTTAGATCTAGATTACTAAGAAGTAGATATTATCTTCTCTGAAACATACCCTCTCCTATATTAGAGTTGAAATGAGTTCATGTTGATTAGCAATCCTTTGGTGGAAGGTGACCAAGATGGGGTAGATGTAGGGCAGCCAACCTAGGATCAGAAAGTCGAGGTTCAACTCCTAGCCAGTCCCACATGCTAATTTCGTTATTGTATAGGAACATACAATAACAGCACTGATCTTTTATATGCTAAACGTATAATCAGTAATCCTGAAACTGTGCTTTTTTCCATCTAAAATCATCATTATCCTGTTTAGGTATCTGTGGTGTATCCAAAAGATAAAATCTCTTTCTCTCATTTTAAGGATTTTTTTGAGTGCTGTGTCTCAAAATCAGAAATAAGATTTACATATTTTAAATTGTATTATTTTGCCGTTTAGTAGCTATTTTATTTTTAATTTTATTTTGACATCTAGTGGTATATCTAAAGGACTGCAGTTGAGTCTTTTTGTGGTTATGTCAGTATTGTGTCACTGTCCAGCTGTATCCATGCAGCTTTATCAAGTCTGTGTTCGAGATTTCCCACGCATGTCAGAAAATGTGCTCACAGCCCTAGAAAACCACAACCAGTGTGATGTTTTCAAACTTTCTGTTTGTGAAGAAGCAGGGACCTGATTTCAGAATGCATGATTTTTGCTTGACTGTGGGGCAGTATGTTCATCCATCCATTATCTTTACCCGCTTATTCCATTTTGGGTCACGGGAGTCGCTGGTGCCCATGTCCAGCAATCACTGTGCGAGGGGCGGGGTACACCCTGGACGGGTCGCAAGTCCATCACAGGGACACATAGAGACAAACGAGACAAACAACCATTCACACCTAGGGACAATTTAGAGTTACCAATCAGACTAACATTCATGTTTTTGGTCTGTGGGAGGAAACCGGAGCACCCGGAGAAAACCCACGCATGCACAGAGAGAACATGCAAACTCCACCCAAAGGCCCCTGGACCGGGGTTTGAACCAAGGACCTGCTCGCTGAGAGGCAGCAGCTCTACCAGTTGCACCACCGTGCTGCCCCGCAGTATGTTCATTCAACCTTTATTTGTACAGGTTAGTCTCGTTGAGCCTCTCTCGTTGTCTCTGCTTCTCAGCTTTAGGACAAACGTCACAACCAAAAACATAAACTTTTTAGCTCTCTTCTCCTGAAAATATTGTGGCAGCTTGAATTTGTGTCTTTTATTGACATAAAGATAAACATCTTTGAATTATAGCACCTAAAGTTTGCATGATAATGCATATTATGACTCATTTAAACCATAATGTCTGTTGTCACATGTCTTCTGCCCTCCATACCAACACACGCACACACAAACCAATAATCTGGGTTCCATGCATTAAACGCACACACACCACAGGCTCACACTCTGTTTTTATCAGCTTGCAGAAGCAACTGCTGCAGCTTGCATGCATGTGTGTTGGTGTGTATGTGTGTGCATGTGTGTGAGGGTGCGTCAGAGGAAAAAGGAAGTTGCGGGATAAAGTTAAAAGCCTTCGACACAGTGCAGTTTTGCAGAACACCCACGAAAGGCAGAACGAGAGCGCCTCGGCCTGAAAATGAAATATTAAAAGTTAAAGCGACGGGTGAACATCGACAAATTAGATATAAAACGTTGGGGAGAAATTAGTAAAAGGTAAGTTCGGATTTTATACTCATTAAATGTTATCATATAATTACAACTTGAAGTTTGTGATGGCTGTTTAAGTATTTTCCTGACAGGCCTGCGTGTGTGTGACAATGCAGGGTTTGCTGTAACTTTTTTGAGGCAAATTTAACCCACGTTGATTGAATTCTGGAATTTGCCACACCAATAATTAAAATTACAATTTATTACGCTAAACTTTGTGTCATTTAAGTGGAAAGTATATCATCTCTGCATCCATTCACTTGTCAGAAAACAAAGATGGAGCTGTGGCGGCAGTGTGCGATGTGGCTGATCGAGTGCCGGGTTCTTCCTGAGAGCCACCGAGTCACATGGGGGGGAGCTCAGGTAAATCAGCTGCTGCTCACTGATGCATACACCTACACAGAAATTCACTTCTCCCCCTAATTGAGTTTTCTGTGCACGTGTGTGTCATGCATGTAACTAGGTGTGTGACCTGGCTCAAGCTCTAAGAGATGGTGTGCTGCTCTGCCAGCTGCTGAACAACCTGATGCCCCAGGCTGTCAACCTGAAAGAGATCAACCTGCGGCCACAGATGTCCCAGGTAACACACTTGCACAAAAAATATTTTCCTGCTCCATTTCCATAAGTTGCGTCCATAGCAACTCCCAGCCAGCACGCATCAATAAGCCCAAAGGCTGTACGATAAGAAAATGCTGTAACCTGTATCTTTCCTTATCTGGGCCCATGGAGAAAGGACAAGATGATTATCATGATGTTGACAAAGAGAAACAGACAAAGAGATTTAAATGTATTCATTTTTGTATGATTAAAGAAAATCCAAAGTAAAAAAACAAAGGAATTATCTTCTAAAACGCACTGCTAGTTTGCTGCCCGTTTTATTTTTTTTACTCATCTACATCATGCTAGTATAGATGCTTAGTCATTCAGGACATGACCAAAACAATTCAACCTTTGGACTTTAATGAAGAAGCTGAAGATGCTTTGCTTCCCATCCAGGGGCTCTTTCTCAGTTCAAAGCTGACGTGTGCAGTTCCAAGCTCTAAATGGCATGAAGTGTTGCGTTGTGCAGATTAAATTCACATGGCAGATTAAATTCACTCCTCCCCCAACAGAGAATGGTTAGGGTTTTTGTTTGCCTGGCACCACAGGAGATACGTGTTGGTCACATGTATGAAGGTGTGAAACAGAGGGGGCTTAATGCTCCGTTGTGAGTTTTAGAAAGATGAAATTTGAGACCTCCTCCATGGTTTTAAATAGGGTTTGTAAATGTCAAAGTTCATGCTCAATAATCCAGGTAAAAAAAATCTAACACACTTCAGTCAGATCATCTGGACGGTTTCTTTTTTGTTGTTGTTGAGATGTTTCATCTTTCATCCTTTCATCCATTGGGGCAGCTGTGGCTGACTGGTTAGAGCAGTCGTCCTCCAATGCGAGAGTTGGGGGTTCGAATCCACCAGCAGTCACATGCTGAAGTGTCCCTGGGCAAGACACTGAACCCCTCATAGCCTCTGATGTGTGTCCCATCAGTGTATGAATGTGATCTAAAGCTCTGATTAGTCTCATTAGAATGATTTGTTCAATTAGCTTTGTAAAGATCTAGTAGAGTGCTGTATGAATGTGTAAATGAGGCACAGATTGTTGTAAAGCACTTTGAGTATCTTGATAAGATAGAAAGGTGCTATATAAGTACAGTCCATTTACCATCCTTCATCAGTCTGAGGAGCCACAACAAACTCAGTCCCACACACACATAGTGGACCAATCAGTTTGCTGGTGATAAGACGGTCCCTGGGGCACGCCCTCTCCACCGTCGAGTCCTCTGAGGCAGCCATAGCCAAAGTGGTTCAAAACATCAAAACCACATTATCACCAGCAAACTGCTTGGTCCGCTATGGGAGTGTGCTGCTTGTGGGACTGAGTTCGTAATGGCTCCTCGGACTTATGAAGTCCTTTGGATGAAAGATGAAACATATCAATAACAAAAACAAAAAAAACATGCAGATGACCTGACTGAACTTTGCTGGTTTTGTAAAGTTTTTTGTTGTAGCTTCTTTTACTACTCTCTCAAGCCACCCGTTCATAGAAAGATGGTTTGGAAAAAATAAAATATATACAGGTATATATATATATATATATATGTATGTATGCCCTCTGATGGACTTGCGACCTGTCCAGGGTGTACCCCGTCCCTCGCAAAGTGATTGCTGGACATGGGCACCGGCGACCCCCGTGACCCAAAATGGAAAAAGCGGGTAAAAGATAATGGATGGATGGATATATGTATATATAAATATAAATATAAATATATATATATTTACATTTTTCCATCTTAATGAGCTGAAACATCAAACAAAGATATTTGTTACTCTTTTAAGAACTTTTATTGTCTTTTTCAATGAAAACCCAAAATATTGCTATCAAAGCTAAGTGCTGACGCTGATAACAACCTGGTTGAAAATATGTTTAGAAGTCTGTGCCAATTTATTTGTTCATAGTTTTATTATGGACTCTACGAGTTATCTACTTTGCATTTCCCTTTTCTGAAAAACACAGCATTTTTCTTCAAAGTTCATGTTCAGTAATCCAGGTTGAAAATCCAGCAAAGTTCAGTCAGGTCATCTGCACGGTTTCTTTTTTTTTGCTGAGATATTTTGTCCTTCATCCAAAGGACTTCATCAGTTCGATGAGCCACAACAAACTGAGTCCCACAAGCACCACACTCACATAACGGACCAACCAGTTTGTTAGTGATAAGATGGTTTCTGCGGCCTGCCCTCTCCCCCGTTGACTCCTCTGAGGCAGCCATAGTCAAAGTGTTTCAAAACATCAAAGTTCATGCTACCTGGATTAGTGAGCATGAACTTTGATGTTTTGAACCACTTTGGCTTTGGCTGCCTCCAAGGAGTCGACGGGGGAGGGGGGGGGGGGCAGAAAACATCTTATCACCAGCAAACTGGTTGGTCCATTATGTGAGTGTGGTGCTTGTGGGACTCATTTTGTTGTGGCTCATCGAACTGATGAAGTCCTTTGGATGAAGGACGAAACGTCAGCACTTTTCTTTCATCCTGCGCCTTTTCACCATCTGAGATGCTTTATTTTATCTTCTGTCTCTGTAATATTTTGGAATGGCCATTATGCTTTAAATCATCCGCTGACTGGTGAAAAATAGTGAAATTTTAGACAACGCCTCAGTCTTTGTTTGATGTATGACAAAGTAGACACTAAACAGGCATCATGCATATTTGCTCCCTGATGATATAGATTAGCTGTGGCCAATCCTGAACATATAAAATCTACATTTTTGCAGAGAATCACCTAAAGTTCAGTTGTAGGGTAAAACCTAAAACAAAAATATAAAAGATAGTAGCCCATGAGGACCAGGTTTGGACACCACTGGTCTGCACCATTATGTAGCAGATTTGTATGATGTCTGCCTAATGGCTACATGGACAAACATCAAACAAAGACTGAGGAGTTGTATTACATTTCACTGTTTCACCCATCAGCTGATTACCCAAAGCATATTGGACATTTCAATACTTTGAAGAGAGAAAAACATAAAAAGCTGAAACAAAGCATCTTAGGGAGCAGGTGAAATGATGCAGGACATCAGTAAAAAGTGATGTGCTTTTAGGACAGGGAAAAGAAAAGTAGCTGATTGTAGAAGAGACCATAATATAATTATGAACAAATAAATCAACACCAACTTTAATATATTCTGGATGAGGTTGTTCTTAGAAGCAGGTATTTGGCTTTGATAACAGCAACATTTTGTATTTTGATTTAAAATAAGATGATGATATCTCACCCAGTGGTTCCTAACACTGGTCCCTGAGGAACACCACCCTGCTTGTTTTAGTTGTTCCTCTGCTCTAACAAACCTGATTTGAATGAAAGAGTAATTAACAAGTTTCTGCCAAACTCAATGAAGTAATTAAACCACTGAATCAGGTGTGTTAGATCAAAGAAACAAATAAAACATGCAGGATGGAGTTCCTCAAGGACCAGAATCGGGAACCCCTACACTAGGCAGTTACAAACATTTTTGGTTCACCATTAAGATGAATAAGTGTAAAACATTTACCTCAGAAATTGCAGCAGTACGTCTCATTATCATCTGTAAACACTGAACATGTTATCAGGGTGCACATCCAGTGCCAGACTGGAAATAGTGGGGGTCAAAGGTCACTCGGGCACAACACCATATGCTCACCATCAAATAGTATACAAGGTAGTAAATAATCCCAAATATCTGTAGATTTATTGAGTGGCCAGATACAGTACAAGCCTCAAATACTTGTACTTGTAAAAACACCCCGATAATTCAGACCAATACCACTTTTCTGCTTGGTGATGTCATCTTTTCTTCAACTTCACAAGTAACCAAGGGCAAAAAATTCAAAATATTCATACTTTGGAGATATTTAAAGATAAACACAGGTCATGTTAAGACAGCATGACTGTTTGCTGTTTTCCTGATTTAAAAAATGTGTTTCTAAAGTCACAGTGTAGTGTTTAAGTACTAACTCATTAAATACTCAGCTTTATCACTCATTACCAGCAAGTAACCAAACTGAAGTACTTGTACTCAGTTTGAAAAAAAAAAAAAAAACAAGACACCCCTAGACTTTTTGTTTGTATTTCTCATAAACAGTACATTTTGGTCCAAAAAATCAGCAAAAGCAGAGAAAGACGTTCAAAAGAATGTAAAATTTTGTGTAACTGTTGGTGAATAGTGTTTCTTTTTGGGATGAGGTGGCATTCTGCCAAGCAATGGTTGCAGAATGGTTTCCTTCATTCCTTTGTTCTTTAACATATGCTATAATATGTTGTTTTTTGTCTCTGGTGTTCCCAGTTTTTGAAAGTTTTATTGTTTAACAAGTAAGACGAACATAAAAACCCTGTGTTGCTACAGCTCTTGACGATGCTGGCTTCAGCATGAATTTTAACTGGCTTACATCACTACACACTTGCATTGAACATGCAAATAGAAATAACTAGCACAGAAACCACACTGCCAGAATGCCTAAAAATTGATTTAGAGACACCAACAAACTGCAGTAAAGCAGAAATATGCTTCAAAAGTGCAAAGACCATCTAGGCGAAGATGGATAAGATAAAAGCCAAAAAGAAACAAAAAACCTTTCCAGATTATCAGTATCAGAGTTCAAACATTGTTTATGTATTTCAAGAAATAATACTCACCACCTCACAGTTATGCTCAAATAACTTATATGTATGCTATTTGTTGTGGTCAAATATTTGTGTGAAATAATAATTAAGAAATAAACAAGTGTACTAATATTTTTGGCTTTTCTCAACACATTTTATTCACACAGCAGGGATGTTGAGCTCATCACTGGTTGGCCTTGCTCGGTCAAAACGTAACAAATTCTGTGCTCTACTCCTGAACAATCAGCTCCTTTGAGACTTTTCTTACAATATAGGTAGCTTACATGTTGCTATGTAGCTAAATGACAAATAATGACCAGAGGTGGAAAGAATGCTGAAAATCTGTACTAAAATACAAGTACTGTTACAGTGCTTAAATTGTACCGTATTTTCCGCCGTAAACGTTGC